CGACCGCCCTCGTGTCCTCCACCTGGCTGGCAAGCTCCACCACCACCACCTCCACCACCTCCACCGCCTCCTGTTCCACCTGGTCTTTTGGTTGCAGAGCCCCCTATGCCACCACCTGTGCCAGTTGCTGCAGAGGAGGGGGCCGTGGTGGATGCTGAGTATCCACTTGTTGAGGAGGAAGAGGAGGAGGAGATGGACGACGATGCTTTGCAGAGGCAGCTTCTTTCATCTTTTGCCGTAGAGGATGAGGTGCCGACCAATGTTGCTGAGGTGCCGACGGATGTTGCTGAGGTGCCGACCGATGTTGCTCGAGAAGATGAAGAGGAGGAGGAAGGGAGGGAGGAAGAGAAGGAGGAGGAGGAGCAGCCACGATCGTCACGAGCAAGGCGATCACGATCGAGGCACCGTCGCTCAAGGACACGATCGAGGCACCGTCGCTCAAGGACAAGAAGGAGAAGAAAGGAGAAGAAAAAGAAGAAGAAAAAGAAAAAGCATCGCCACAGGAGGACCAGCAGCAGCAGCTACAGCAGCAGCAGCAGCTGGAGCAGCAGCATCAGCAGCTCGAGTTCGAGGGATCGTCGCCGGGGCAGGTGAAAAGAGTGCACTGTGCCCCGACTGCCCTGAACCCTAAACCTCTGTATAACCAAATATATGTATATATATATATATATATATATATATATATTTGCGCATATATATATATATACACACACCCTCACAAGTATCTAGGGCTTTCCCCGTTCACAGGCAATTGGGATTCAGGGTTGTTTGGGGTCTGGGCTTGGGTTTTTCTACGGGCTTATATAGTGGTTTGGGCCTTGTGTGGTGTTTAATTATACAGGATTTGGGGTTTAGGGTTTGGGGTTGGTGTTTGGTGCCTCTACAGGACTTCGAGTTTGGGGTTTTTATACAGAGGGTTTCTGACTCTGAACCCCGAACCAAGGGCCTTTGGGGTAGCATCACAACCTAAACCCTAAACCTTAAACCCTCAACCCTATATACCCTACAAACCCTCAACCCTCCACCCTAAACCCTAAACCCTATATACCCTATATATAAACCCTAAACCCTTAACCCTAAACCCTACACCCTAAACCCTAAACCTTAAACCCTAAACCCTAAACCCTAGACCCTAAACCCTAAACCCTAAACCCTAAACCCTAAACCCTAAACCCTAAACCCTAAACCCTAAACCCTAAACCCTAAACCCTAAACCCTAAACCCTAAACCCTAAACCCCATCCCTAGACCCTATCGGGCTAAACCCTAAACCCAAAACCCCATAAACCCTAAACCCTACCCTAAAACCTTTTAAACCCTAGAACCCTAAACCCTATAAACCCTAAACCCTAAACCCTAAAACCTAAACCCTAAACCCAACACGAAACCCCAAACCCTGAACCCTTTTGTATAAAACCTGAACCCCGTAAACCCCATATACACCCTTAAAGCCATCAAACCCGAAACCATTTTTCTCCCCTAAACGAAAAGTTATCAAGCAGAACATGCCTCCAAACCACCCATCTAGAAGCAATAACAACAAAACTCCTTGGCCGTGCAGGCCACGATGCCTTCGGAGCCTGGGGCTTTGGTGCTCGGGAACCTGGAGAGTTGCATGTGTTGGTTGTTGATTTTCCTTCAGAAATTTCATCTTCCGTGAACACTAGGGCATCGAAGTTTTGTCGAAATTTCGTCGAAATTTCGATGGGGGTGTCGAAATTTCGACATCCCCCCGTCGAAGTTTAAGTCGAAGTTTTTACTTGTAAAATACACAAGGCATCCCTTTAAACATGAATTAAAGTGTCGAAGTTTAGGTCGAAGTTTTCATTAAAACTTCGACTTGAAGAGGTCGAAACTTCGACTTGAAGAGGTCGAAACTTCGACGAAATTTCGATGAAACTTCAATACCTGGAGTCCAACCATTATAGCAATTTGTTAGAAACAACCATTGCAGAATTCGAAAATTCAAAGATGAGACAAGCGAATTTCGTGACCAATCGTGTAGGAATTTGCATGAACAAGAAGAGGAAAACACTTTTGAGTGACCCCGAGAAACAGAGAGATGCACATATGTTCGAATAAAAACCATGAGGGACCCTGAGAGACACGTGTTGAGATGTTGAGATACAACCCCGGGACGGACCCTGAGACACGAGAGTGCATATGTGCTTGCCATGCTTGCTGCCAGCCCGAGTTTCAGCTTTACACAGTTTCTGTGTGTTTCGTGTTTTCCTGTGTGTCGCCCTATATAGGCCTCGGATCCAGCATGGCGCCAAAGAAGGTGTCGAAGAGACCGGCTGCGAAGCATGACGACGAGAAGCCCCCAAAGAACGTCAAGAAGCAGGATAAGCCAGAAGAAGAAGAAGAAGACTCCAGCAAGAGAGACAAAGGCAAAGGGGAAAAGTGGGCCAAGATGAGAGAGAAGGGCCAATTGCCGGAGCACCTGATGCAGCTCTTTGACCAGGTTCCCCCGGGTGTCGGAGCTCGTGAGCACCGAACGTCGGTGATAAACCGTTGCTTCAAGAAAAACAAGAATGGTGGCTACGAGATTAACACCGCCGAGCCAATGTTCAAGCAGAGCTTGGCTGCCTTCGACAAGAAGTATGCCAGGACCGAAGAGGAGGGCCTCCCGGAGTCAGTGTTCCTGCACAAGAACTTCCACGGCGACAGGGCTGCTATGAAGCAAGCCTACGAGAACGGCGACATCTTCCAGACAAAGGACGGTAAGGGGGCTACCTTCTGGGCCTACACGAAGGTGACTATCGGCAGGGAGTCGGGCTGTGTGGAAAAGAGCCAGCTCGATCGAGAGAAGACTTTGTCGCAAGGTGATGCAACAGATCTCCAAGCCATGATGTCCAGCATGAACTGGGGCTGGAACAAGTGCAAGAATGATGCCCTGAAGGACGGCATCATGTCCGATGCCACCAAGAAGATGCTCAAGACAGCGAAGGATTCCCAGAGTCGCTTGGCAACCGAAGCCATGAAGCTCGTGACCCAGCATGGCAAGATCCTGCATCAGGACCGTGTGAAAGAGCTCCAAACCGGGCATGTTCGGGCACAATCCTCGGCTCTCGCCATTGAGCACCTCCTGAAGTTCAACATGCTGCCGAACGACGAAGAGTTGACCAAGCAAGGGTTGGAGACCTACATGGGCTTGGTTGCAAAGCAAACCCAGAACGTGAACGAGCTGGTGGAAGTGAGCAAAGGGCTGGTGCGAGCAGCCAAGACGAAGCCGGGCAAGGAGGGCAAGGAGTGAGAGGGGAGTTTTTCTCTGTCTGCACATTGTCTGCCCCTGTTTTGAGTGTGCCGAGCAAGTTTTCTTGTGGGTGCTTTGTTCAGAGTGTGTTGTGTGTGTGCACAATAAAAAGTACTTTTTTATTAAAGGTATATATGGTTTCTGTGGTGGCCTGTGGGCCATGAGAAGACGGCATGCAAGGGGTTATTCGTGCAGAGACCGAAATCCGTGACACGAGAGAATCCCACCCGCCGGGTGCAAAACAGTTTGCTTGCCATTTGCCCTGTGCAGCGCATATACACACACATGGGGTTTAGGGTTTAGGGTTTCTAGGGTTTAGGGTGGTTGGGCAAAAACATCTGTGCAGCAAGGGTTGAGGGGTGTGAGGTTTAGAGAGGTGCACACACTGCATTCGTCTCGTCAGGTGTTTTTTTCGCTCCACACTGCCTACAAACCTTTGAACCCTATAAACCCTAAAGACCACAAAGAAACCTAAACACCCTCTAGACCCTATATACCCCCGTATTTTTAAGGCATATAAACCCTCAACCGGGACTCTGCTACACCCTTTTATGAACCTTGTAGACACCCAATATAGCAAACTCAGCCTGCGAATCTGAGATATATGTGTCTCTCACAAGGTCCAAACAAAATCTGCTCTCCAGGTTCGATGCAGAGCCATGGTTCGGGCCTCCGTGCTGTGTGGACTTGAGAGAGAGCTATATATATATATATATATATACATTAATTATATATAAAAATGGGTTGGGTTTAGGGTTTATAGGGTTTAGGGTTTATAGGGTTTAGGGTTTATAGGGTTTAGGGTTTAGGGTTTATAGGGTTTATAGGGTTTAGGGTTTAGGGTTTAGGGTTTAGGGTTTAGGGTTAGCATACACATACCTATAGATCTAGAGGAGGGAATATATATATCTATATATATATATATCTACATGAGAGCACATGTCTGTCTGCAGTCACTCCTATATATACTTAGATCTATGTGGGTTTATGGATACAGGGTTTAGGCGCTGAAAAGGGCATAAAAGCATATATACCATGAGAGTGCGAGAACCTTATACCACCATGAGAGTGCGAGAACCTTGTGAGAGCAGCATGTGAAAGATTGCAGGCCTGCTTACACACCACGAGAGAAACTTGAGAGGGCCACATGAGACGAGCCAGCACCACATGCATTTTGTTTGTGCTGCAGATTCTCAAAAGCGCCCCAAACCCCATTTTCACCCTGTACACCTTCTATATGTTTTTTGTATGCATATATACATATATATATATATATGTATATATATATATATGCATATATATATATATATGCATATATATATATATATGAATCTGTAAAACAAACACACACATATATATATATATGTGTGTGATTTTATATTATATATATATAATCGATTCTTCTATATACCTCTACACATGCAAAACCTGAAACCCCACAAGCCCTAAACCCCTCTAAACCCGAGTTGTTAAACACATACACATACTTTTGTGCAAATATATATATATATATATTTATATTTATATTTATTTATTTATTTATATACACACACATACGTGTACGAATGTACATATATATATATATAGAAAAGTACATATATATATATATATCATATATAAAAATATATAAAATTACATGTGTAGGTATATATATATATACATATATATATATATATGTCTTTTCTATATATACATGACCCCTGAAACTTGCACCTAGAGAGCCAGCCCGTGTCTCCCATGTCAGCATGAGATCTGGAGGGGCACAACAACGAAAGAGGAAACGGGAGGATGATGAGCGACGATGTGGTCTACACTCTAGCAGCCTTGCCACCCATTTAATCTACCAGTTCGCTTGGGGGGCATACTCGCCACAAGAAGTTCAGAGATTGGCAAGCTTGGCCCTCAATGATATGAAGAAGGTAGCTCGGCCAGAGGATTTGCCACAGGATTTGATTGATGTTGCTGCTATCGGAGCTGGTGGAAAGCACCCATCAAAATGCCACGGTGACCTCATCAAGTTGGTAGAGCCACAGATCAAGTTGCCCCAGCCGACAGTCGCGAAACTGCCTTTTAAAGCACCGGTGAAGGAACACGACCAGGCAATGTTCCTACCCCACGAGGTTTTCGCAAGCCTCTACAAGGACTACGGTGATGCTTGGGTCAGGTCAATGGTGCCTTCTGAAGGCAATATCCCTGAATTTTGGGATTCGGTGGCTGAGCACCCAAGCCTTCAAAACCATCCCTTGAAACTGAGGGGCGATTTTCGCAGCAAGTGCATCCCCATCGGACTTCATGGTGATGATGTCCCCTGTACAGGGCTGGGGAAGTGTTGGGTGAGCAAGCAAACCCAATTTTCGTGGTATTCTTTGCTCGCCACAGGTGAAAGCACAAAGGATGGAATGTTCTGGATTTATGGATGCATGGAAAAACTTCGAAGCAATGATCTTGCATCACACACAATGCACAAATTCCTGCACATCCTCGCATGGAGCTTCTTGTGGTTGAGCCGGGGACAATGGCCCGACGAAGATTGGAACGGGAAGAAGCTACTTGTCATGGTTTGAGAGCATGTGTGTAATTTTTTTCTTTCTGGGGTTTTTCCCTTTTATATATATAAGCCTTTTTTGGTCGTGTGTCGAATTACACACACACAAGGTATCCCCGGGGCTCAAGGGAGCAGAAAAGAGCATTGAAACCATTGGCCTCCGGTTTCTACTGCTGCCTCTTCAGCATAATAGGCGATTTGGACTACTTCGCTGGCATCTTGCAGTTGCCGCATTTCGCCAGCAAATCGAACCCCTGCCCCCTCTGCAGGGCATCCAGCACCGGCCCCAACACCTGGGCCAATTTTAGGCCCGACGCGCCTTGGAGGGCCACTGTGTGGGACCCCGTGGGTTGGAGAGAGTGGGAACAGAGGAGCCAATCACCGTTGTTTCGTCTTCCTGGCACGAGTTGCCATACCGTGTGTCTAGATTATCTACACACAAAATATTTAGGATCCGACCAGTTCATGTTTGGTTCTGTGCTTGCTTTACTCACACACACTGTATTGCCAGCAACACCGTTGGAGAACCTCAAGCGAGTCTGGGCCAGGGTGCTTCACTTTTACAAGGCTTCGAGAACACCGGCAGCCAACCGATTTCGCAGCCTCGGCAAACTGTCGATGTTTGTTCGTCGGACAGGCTATCCGAAGTTACGAGGAAAAGGCCACGAACTGAAACACTTCGGCAGAGCCTTGTTGGATGTGTGGCAACACTTTCACAACCCCGTGATCCGGATACACCAGCAAATCCTCCTCATGTTACAGCTCAATGTCAGAATGGAGGACCTGCTTCTCGACCACAAGACTTGCTTTGTGTTTCCACCGGCTGCAGCCCAAGAGTTTCGCGAAACTGCCAGTGCTATGTTAGTTCTGTATGCTGCTGTGGCAAGACATTTTGCAGAGAACCTGGGAGGGGTTTATAGACACATGTCTTTTGAGGGCTTGCTGTGTGTGTTGGTCTTGTATTATGTATGGCTGTGTATCTAAAAAGCCTTAAACCTTTAAATCTTATACATACATATAGCCCCTAACCCCCAATTATGATTCGGGACCCTATATAGTCTTGCATCCTTTTTTGTTTGTGTAGATGCGAAGCAATCGCGACCAACCTCTGTAGTAAGGGAAGGCATCCAAAACTTTGACGTCACCTCCAAGTTCCACATGCTGCAACACATCGCGGACTATGCCCATTGCCTGTCGCCCCGCCTGGTGCCTCCCATCTTTTGATGTGTTCTCCTTCAGGGATAAAGATTTTCGGCGGTTAACCTTTTTGGTGGCACAGTCCATAACAGTCTGTCTATATGTAGTATTCTCTGGTGTCGGGTTGCACATCCGAGAGGTCTGGTGTTTTTCCGGAGAAGATCTCATGAGGCATCTTCAAAAACTTGCCCAAGCGAGCAGCAGGGGGGTCAAGGCCGTGTCGGTTGTGAACAAGATGTCTCGCAAATACCGACTGGCCATGCACATGCAGTTCACAAAGGTCTGAGGAAAATCGGAGTGTGAATCTCTCGAGGCATGCAATATATATATATATATATCGATATATATATATATTATATAGTGTTCCCTCGAAGTCGTAGCAAGTGTGTGAGACACCTCGTCCCTCTCTCCCAACCCTATATATAATTCCTAAACCCGAGACCCGACCCACTTGTGTGTCCTATATCTCTAGACAATTCCCTGCGAAGCCTCTTGTGCGGTCGCAAGCTCTCAAAGTGTATGTAGTGTTGCACAAGCTTGATCTCTCTCAAGTTGAACTCTCAAGGTTGTATATAGTGTTGCACAAGCTTGATCTCTCTCAAGTTGAACTTTCAAGGTAGATTTTAGGTTCTCTCTGGGTTTTCAAGCGGTTTCGGGCTCAATCTCACACAAGTTGAACTCTCAAGGTCGGTTATATAGGTTATCTCTGGGTTTTCAAGCGGTTTCGGGCTCAATATATATATATATATATACACACATATATATATATATAATGGTTTGTATAGGGTTTCGGAAAGGTCTGGTTCAGGGGCGTTATATATATACATATATATATACTCAACATATCTTGTATATATGTACATATATATGTGCTATAGAACCATGTGAGAGCTCTTTTTCTCAACCTTGAGAGCTCTTTGTCTCAACCTTGAGAACAAGAAAGGTTTATATAGGGTTTATAGGGCTTAGGGGGTTTATATAGGGTTTACAGGGTTTAGGGTGTAGGGTTTAGGGTTATATATATAGGGTTTAGGGTTTAGGGTTTAGGGTTTATATATATAGAGTTTAGGGTTCAGGCTTCAGGCTTTATAGACTGTTTAGGCTTTAGGGTTTAGGGTTTAGGGATCAGATGAGTTATATATACACCTTTATACCTGTTATATATAACCTTTACCTGTTCTGAAGACCAGAGAAAGATCACATGAATTTCCTTTACCTGTTAAGACCAGAAAGATCAGATGAGTTGCCTTTACCTGTTCTGAAGACCAGAGAAAGATCACATGAATTACCTTTACCTGTTAAGACCAGAAAGATCAGATGAGTTGCCTTCACCTGTTCTGAAGACCAGAGAAAGATCACATGAATTACCTTTACCTGTTAAGACCAGAAAGATCAGATGAGTTGCCTTTACCTGTTCTGAAGACCAGAGAAAGATCACATGAATTACCTTTACCTGTTAAGACCAGAAAGATCAGATGAGTTGCCTTTACCTGTTCTGAAGACCAGAGAAAGATCACATGAATTACCTTTACCTGTTAAGACCAGAAAGATCAGATGAGTTGCCTTTGCCTGTGTATACCTTCACCAGCACAAGATCAGATGAGTTGCCTTTATACCTGTTTTATAAGACAGGAAGGATCAGAAGAGTTATATTCTATTCCTTCACCTGCGAAGACCAGAATGATCAGATGAATGATACACAGAGCAGAGGTTTTGCATGTCCAAAACAACCCACCCAGACTTCGACACCCAGGCCTTGCAAATTACGAGGGGGGGGGGGGGGGGGGGGCGAAGTTTCGACGAAATTTCGTCGAAACTTCGTGTCCCGTAGGTTGGGCAAATCTTGACTAAAACGTGTTTTTTTGGATATCAAAGTCAAAATCACAAGGTGTCGTATCCAAAATCGCCTTGTTTTTTTGGATATACTTTTGCCCAACGTTTTGACTATTAGTCAAAACGTGTTTTGACTATTAGTTAAAATTTAGCCTACGGCAAAATTTTGACTAATAGTTATTTTTCTATCCAACCGGGTCTATCGGGAAGGTCAGAGACCCACCCAGGCAAATCTTACAGTTCGAACTCGCCCCAAACCCTAAAACTCTAAACCCTTACACCCTTATACTATAAGCGCTCGAATAATGTGGCGTGATTATAGTACCATAAGCGAATGCAGAGCAATTACTCCCACCCTCACACACCCCTAAACCCTCAACCCTTGAACCCTTGAACCCTTAAACCCAAAATGACCCCTATACCGAAAACCCCAAACCCTAAGCCCGTCAAAGCCTTAGACATCCTTATCCTAGGATGCCCAGTCGTGCCCTTATTCCCTTGTTCGGGGGGTTTAAAGGCTCCCTTTTCAAGCCCTGTCAGCAAAAAAGGGTTTAGGGTTTAGGGTTTAGGGTTTAGGGTTTAGGGTTTAGGGTTTAGGGATCCTAGTTTGGGCTCGGAGGTCTTGGTTTTGTTGTTGCTTTGTTCTGGACAAGGAGCCGGTCAGTAGAGCCCCAGAGCTCGCTGCAGCAGGCGGGCTGAGTGTAGCTGCGGCCGGAAGCCCGAAACCCTAAACCCGAAACCCTAAACCCTATAAACCCTAAACCCTAAACCCTATAAACCCTAAACCCTAAACCCCAAGCAACCCCTTACTAAAGGGCACATTCATGGGGGGGAGTATTCAGGTACTTGAGTTTGGGTTCCAGGTCCTAGAACTTAAGCGGCTGAGTTCGGCATGCCAGAGCTCAGTTTTCGAAGAGCTGAGGGTTTCTAGGGGTCAGGTGTTTAGCCTCCGCAAGGGTTTAGGGTTTAGGGCTTGGGGTTTAGGGTTTAGGGTTTAGGGCTTGGGGTTTAGGGTTTAGGGTTTAGGGTTTAGGGTTTAGGGTTTAGGGTTTAGGGTTTAGGGCTCAGGGCTGAAGCTACAAGTTTCTGAATTCTAGACCCGTGAGGTGCTGCCCGTGATCGGCGGGCGCGCGCTCCTCGTGTCGCGCTCGGCGCAGCTGCTTCAGTGACCCCCCGCAGAATCCTTGGGGACTAGTTGAGCCCTAGAAAGGGTTCAGGGTTCAGGGTTTAGGGTTTAGGGTTAGGGTTTAGGGTTAGAAGGTTTAGGGGATCTTAATAGGGTTTGTAGTACGGGGTGAAGAGATCCCATTCTTAGGAGTGCTTTAGTCCCTGAGAAGTCTCACCTCATGAGCTCTCATCGCGGTGACTTGTGCGGGCTGTAGGGTATGAGCCTGGAGTGTTCCATAAATCGGCAGTTCTAGTACCTTAATCATGGTCATTGGGTCTCCAAAGTACAAGTGCTTGTATTAAAACCCTACACCCTAAACCCTATACCCTAAACCCTAAACCCTGAACCCTAAACACTAAACCCTAAACCAAAACCCTATAGAGTCCTAACCCTAGACCCCCGAAAATGGGGGACCCGCACTTGGGTCTCACGCGCGAACCACACCAACCAGCCGAAGATGAAGCAAGCTCTGAAACGTCGGAAAGCAGGGTTGGGGTTTAGGGTTTAGGGTTTGGGGTTATATAGGGCTTATAGCGTAATTAAGCAGGAGTGGATGGACGAAACCTTTCCACACACACCCAGTTCCTCCGGTCAGTCCCAACAACTACACTTTTTCTGAACCCCCAAACCCCGACCCTACACCCTACACCCTAAACCCCTACTCCTTCAGCCCCTCAATCTGAAACCCCTGCGCTCCAAACCTAAACCTTCCACCGAATCTCGGACGTACATCCAGTTGAACTGTAGGCAAACAGAGTGCCGGTGAACTCTAAACCATGAGCCCCAAATTAGGGCTTGGTGTTTAGGCAAACTTGAACCTCTGAAGCCCCCTAAACCCCACAAATTCCCCCCCCTCCCCCCCGACCCCTGCCACCCCAAACGCCCTAAATTCCCACACTCAACACTCAACAAATTAAACACTACAAGACTTAAAGCTCAACCCTTCAATTTGCTCCTGAACCCCACACCCCTCTCTGAACCCCAAACCAAAACCTCCCTTGCAAGCAGCCCTAGAAGGGTTAGCCACTCCTTGAAACTCCCCAAGCCTAAGCCCCTCGTAAATGCTAAACACCATTCCCCATACCCTAAAGCCCGAGCCCCCAACGTTTAACCCAGTGTAGAAGCCCAAACCACGAACTTCAAAAAGCTAGACTTTGAACCCTAGGACCCCCAAACCCTAAACCCTAGCCCTAAACCCCAAATCCTAAACCCGAAGCCCTCAACACCCCCAAAACCCCTACATGTACAGGCGCTGGCGGTCTCATCTTCGACCTCGGCTCCTCCTCCTCGGTTTTCAGGGGTTGGGTTTTTTGGGGTTTAGGGTTTATCGGGGATTGTAGGTGGTTATATAGGGTTTATAGGGTTTCATTAAGGTTGTAGGCTTGAGGGGTTTATAGGGCCTTATAGGGTATATAGTGGCTTAAACGAGTTTATAGGTTTGATTAGGGCGTAGGGCTTTGGGGGCGTTTGCAGGGGTTTTAGAGGTTTAGCAAAAAAGAGACGCTAGGGGATTGTGGGTTTATGGTAGCTGCTATCCCGGCAAAGAAAATGGTAGGGTCTTGGAGGTTCAGGGTCTAGGGGTTTAGTGAGTTTAGTCTTCAGGTTTGAGCAAGGGGTTCAGGGGTTCAGGCTTAGGGTTTAGGGTTTAGGGTTTAGGGTTTAGGGTTTAGGGGGTTGGAAAGCTTTGGTTAGGTTTAGGGTTTGTGGATTAGGGTTTATGGTTTAGGGATTGACATAGGTTGGCTTATGAATCGGTTTAATCTCTCAGCAGGCGCGCCGAGGCGCGGTTTGACAAGGTTCAAGTAACAACTATTATCAGCTGTGGCCGTTTTCATTCGGGTATATGGTATAGAAGATGTTTACCCATATAGGAAGATGTACTAGCCCTAAGCCCGAACCCTAAACCCGAACCCTAAACCCTAAACCCCCCAAACATTTTTCAGAGATGTGGGTGGGCTGACAAGCCAGGCTACACCTACACCAAGAACGAAGCCCGCAATTATTGGCTGCCTCGGGCCTGGAACCGGGGCTTAGGGGTGCGGCTTAGGGTTCAGGGTTCAGGGTTCAGGGTTCAGGGTTCAGGGTTTAGGGTTTAGGGTTTAGGGTTTAGGGTTTAGGGCTCAGGGTAGGGTCAGGAGTTCGGGTTTAGAGATTTAGGGGTGGGCGGGGGGTGGTTCGAGAACCCTGGCCCCCCCGCTAAAACCCTAAACCCTGAGCTTCTAAACACCTTAAACCCACACATTTTTTTCTAGAGGTCAGTGTTCCTAGGTCCCAGCTGTTGTGGATGTTCCGTCCTGAGACTGCAACCTGCCACACGCCTCTATGGATGTATACAGTTCCTTAGTACTTCCCTAAGGGCCCATGTACCCATAAATTAACTTATGTACTTGTGCCTTAAAGGGGTTCCTGTGTAGTACTTCTAGGCTCAACTATAGTTCCACCATATGGGTATATGGACCCTTGGGGCCTTCGATAGCTGGATGTAGATGGAAAGATAGGTCGAAAAGCAGCGCCAGCCCAAGTATAAACTAGCTCGAAGGAACATTTCAAAGTAATTACGACACTTCATCTCGCAACCCATGCTGCCACGGGCAAATTATCTTGGACCCAGAGTAGGCCCCTTATCCGGTTTTATGTGGTTTTAGGTTCCCTTATAAGCCTCTTTAAACCAACAAAAACCGAAAAGGGCACCCCTCTTGTCCTCGGTTGCTCTTGGGTATAGTTATAGAAGCCCGCAACTGTGATGCTAGTCCTAGACCCCAAACCCCAAACCCCAACCCTAAACCCCAAACCCAATCTAAGTCCGAAGTTTGCCACAAGCACCCTCCTTCCTCTCGCTTGGTTGCGGGTCCTGAAGGTTGTATGAACCTAGACAAAATGGACACCCTTCCTCTCTTTTTCTTGCCCCTAGGATTAGGGGATATTGGGGTACAGGAGAGAGGGAGAGAGAGAACGAGAGAGAGAGAGAGAGTTGGGTGAGGGTTGAGGGTTGAGGGTTGAGGGCCAGTTTTGGGTTTGTGGCCGCCACCACCTCGAGAAGAGAAGCTGCCTGCATGGGGCAAGTGTGACCACAACAGGGATTTTCCCAGTGAGGATTAGCGTCCAGATATGCCCTAACTAAGAGTCATTACAGTGATTATTTGAGGGGCCACGACTTCTAGACAAACTTCCGCGCATGCCGCTCGAAGATGGCCGTTGCGCGGAGACCTCTGCGAGTGGAGCTCATCCGCGCTGAGTTCCGGCAGATCTGTGGGATCCACCTGGTTGAGCAGACACTCGGCCTGAGGAGTTGTTTAGCGTTTCTTATCTATTTTAGGTTTAGGGTTTAGGGTTTAGGGTTTAGGGAGTACAGTTAGCTGAACCTCCAAGTGGTTTTTGGCTTCTGAAGGTTTTGCCAGCTTTCTGCGAGCCGAGGACCTTCGATGCCCGGATCTATTTCGAGTTCCTTTTCCCTGGCGCAAAGGCCGAGCATGGAAGTGGGCGCGAGAGCGAAGATGCCCCACTGAATCCGGATGGAACTCGCCAAGGCCTTCGGTTGTACACCGAGTGCGTGTCATGGATGAACGCGATCGCGCCTCCCGCGGTACTCACTGACAAGCTTACCCCGTACAAGGAATGCAACATCCGTTGGGCACTGGAAGTGTAGGGGACCTAGAGAGGTTTGAGTGCAACAGCTTCCCCTTCGACACCCAGGCCTTGTCTGTAAGCTTCGAGTTTGCTTTGTCAAATGAAGGCCCATTCCCGGGAAAACTGTCAGCCGAGCTCGCGGATGCCTGCGACGTGAATGCCAAGCACTTTGTATGGGATAGTGAGTATGATTTGGGTATCCAAACCAAGCTTGTGACGGACGTCCGCAGAGTCCTGCAGACAAGGTCTTACCCAGACTTGACCTTCTCCTGCTTTGTAAAGAGGAAGCCGTTTTTCTACGTGGTGAACATTGTGATTCCCAACATGCTTCTCGCATTGCTGGCTGGCCTGCAATTCTTCATTCCTGTCGAGGATGTGGCTGATCGGGCCAGCGTTTCCATGACTCTGTTGCTGGTATGCGCATCCTACTTCCACTACTCAGGACCATATCCCTCTTGGGAACTTTTTTCGTTTTTGTTCATATTATAGAAACCCAAGAGGATCTTAAAGATATTATTTGATTAAGGTTCTAAGGGAATATAGAGGATCGTTAACACCGACCGTCGGCTACCTAACCCTGCTGGACACACATTCTTTGTGGTGCATGTTGCTTGTTATTGCCATGGTTTTCTGGGCTGGCATTGTCAGGGTGACGTCGCATTCGGATCTGGAGATTGAAACGGTTGACAGCCTGGCAGGATACGCATTCTTGGGCTCATGGCTCCTCGTTCAGGCCGTGTCTAGGACCGGCAGTAATTCGGCCCTTAAGGCCTTAAGGGTTGGGGTTTCCTTATAATCCCCTTCAAAAAACCAAGAGCTGTATCCTTTTTATTCCTAGGCTACTCCCGGGTCCAGGTGTTCGCTCTTCGCTTCTGGCATGCTTGGGGAGAAGCTTCCGCTGAGTTGGATCTTCCAACACTGCAATCTGGAACAGAAGCTCGAGAGAGGCTCCTGATGGTGAACTCGAGCAGTAGGTTCTATCGCCAGTCCGTCTTGGCCTATATGCCCCTCTAGCCTGCATCCTTGCCCCTAAGCCCTAAACCCTCAACCCTAAACCCCAATCCCTAACCCTAAACCCTAAACCCCAAGCCCTAAACCCGAAACCCTAAACCCCAATCCCTAACCCTAAACCCTAAACCCTAAACCCTAAACCCTAAACCCTGTGGGCCAGTGGGGGGTGTTGCACTCCCAGGTCTCTTCTGACGGTCCCATGTTAGGAGACACTACTGCGCCGCACGCCTCTCTTTAGGGTTAAGGGTTTAGGGTTTAGGGTTTAGGGTTTAGGGATGCATTGAATATAGGGGTCGGAATGATTGCTAGTAGCGTTCCCCTATGGTCCCTATAACTGCAGTAGAGTGCCACGAAGAGCAGCTCTGCACGCGTTTGCATTTTAGTTGTCAGTTTGTCTTCGCACCCTCATAAAGTAGGAGTTTCCTTGCACAGGACCTCTGTACCAGGCTGTGCTGCGTGCACAAAAAGATCCCTATAGCTGCCTCATGGAGGCAGACTTGACAACCCCAACCCCTAAACCCTAAACCCTAAACCCTAAACACCCTAAACCCTAAACCCTTGACGCTTGCGTAGTGCGTTCCTGTGTCTCCGTTAGGACCCGCCCACTCCTTTGCAGCATGAAGACTTGTAGGCGATGGTTTCATCGAGCTAGCAAGCCCCTTCCCGCCAACCCGAAGCTCTAAGCCTTCAAGGGTTTAGGGTTTAGGGTTTAGGGTTTAGGGTTTAGGAACCCTCAACCTTACAACCACTTACACACCCAAAATGGTTAGACTTGGTTGCAAGCACAGTTATACTTGGTTTAGTAAGTACCAGGAACCTTCAAGTAGACCCTAAACAAGAGGGGCCGCCTTATAACAAGGACCATAATTTGGAGAACTCACCAGTTAGAATTGGGTGAATACGTACCGTGAGCTCTAAACCCTAAACCATAACCCTAAACCCAACACCCCAAACCCGAAACCCTAACCCTAAACCCTAAACGTGCGCAGCTCAGTTGCTACTGCCCTGGCTATGATTCGGACAACAGTGGCGCCCCTTGCACTGCCAAAGAGGACTTCGTGCAGCCGGGCCCTCACAGAGTCGGAGATCTTCTTGAGGGCGCATTATAGGGTTTTGGGTTTTGGGTTTAGGGTTCAGGGTTTAGGGTTAAGGGGCCTATGCAGCGGATTAGGGTTTAGGGTTTGGGGTTCAGGGGCCTATACAGGGGATTAGGGTTTAGGGTGTTTATCCAGGGTTTGCTGGAATTCAGGGTTTAGGGCATCAGTGTTTAATGCCGTTCAGGGGTTTAGGGTGCGTGGCCTTCGGCTGACAAAGTGGCCGCTTAAGAGCATTCGGTTGTCTTTGCTGCTGAAAGTTACGGACAACAGTGGTGGATCACCCGGCCAGAGATCGATCCAACATGTTCCTTCATGTTTATAATCCCCGACATAGTCCCCAAACCCTTAACTAAACCCTAATTAAATCCCAAACCTAACCCTAAATTTATCCCAGGCTACTAAGCCCGAAGACCCTCAGCAACAAAAATGCATGGCCCACTGTGGGGCCTATAGGATTTGGGATTTATAGAGGTTGGGCTGCGAATCGTGGTCCAGCTTTGGGAATTCGAGGGTTTGAGGCTTCGGGGGGATTTTCCATGGCTCCCACCAACCTCAGTGCACAAGTAACACTTCGGTGCTTAAGCCTGAAACACTAAACCTAAACCCCATTCGCTACCTTGCTTAAGAACTAAACCCTACCTACTGGCCCTAAGAGGGAAGGAGGGAATTTGGTCCCCTACTTCCCCCCCTTCCTGTTTTTATGCCCTTTCAGGGATTGTATTTAGGCTTGAGGGTTAAACCCTAAACCCTAAACCCTAAACCCTAACCCCTAACCCCTAAACCCTAAGCCCTAAACCCTAAACCCTAAACCCTAAACCCTAAACCCGAAACCCTAAGCCCTAAGCCCTAAGCCCTAAACCCTAAACCCTAAACCCTAAACCCTAAACCGTTACGTAGGGGGTCTGCGGCCCGGCTTGGGAGAAACGGCCCTTTGAATGGGCTCACTGCGCAAAAAGAGGTCATACAAAGCGTTTGAGAACTGGCCGTGGGAGCAAACCCTTCGGGTCTTGAGGTTGTGGGCTTAGGGTTTAGGGTTTAGGATTCAGGGTTTAGCTTAAGGGTAGGTAGGGCTTATTTTGTTCTTTTTCAACGAGTTTTGGGCTTTGGGTTCCGGGAATTCAGTTTGCATCGAGGATTTGGGTTTTCAGGGGTGAATGCTGCAAGGTGTTTGGGGTTCGGTTGGGCTTAGCTTCAGTTGGCACGAATCGAGGTCTGTTGGTCTTCTCATCATCTTCAACGTCAGGCAGTCCTCCGTCGGACCCCCAGAGACAAAAGAACACACAACAAAGAATTCAAAAGCAACCCTAAGCCAGCGGCACACACGTCGTCCGTAGTAGTATGATTATGGGGAAGGAGTAGCCCTAAACCCTAAACCCCAAACCTCAAACCCTAAACCCTATACCCTAAACCCTAAACCGATCGGATTTTGTGTTTCGGAGGGGAGGAGATCTGACCGACAGGCTTACGTTGAAGGGGTGGGGGGAGTGGAGGAGCTCGCAATCCGCCCAGTAGTGCAAGTTATGGGGTTTCAGGGTTCAGGGTTTAGGGTTTAGGGTTAAGGGGTTTCAGGGTTTAGGGTTTAGGGTTTAGGGTTAAAGGGTTTAGGGTTTAGGGTTTAGGGCTACTCGTAGTATAAACCCTCAGTACACTCCTTCAAGTTGGAACATGGTAAAAGGTTGATTCTGGCTGGAATCCCCTTTGGCATGGGGATAAGGATGTTCCAACTTTTTGGAGTCTTCTGAGAGTTTCTGGGAAGCCCGACCCCTTTACCCTACCCTGAACTCCGCACACCCTGGACTTTTTCTCGGAGACCGAGCATGAGACAGGAGGCCACGGAAACAAGTTTAGGGTTCAGGGTATAGGGCTTAGGGTTTAGGGTTTAGGATTGAGGGTTTAGGCACATCGTCCTGCTCCCTTCCTCAAGTCAAGAGGACCCCCCCCCCCCCCTCCCCCATCCATATCAGGCATGTTGCCATAGGTCTTGGGCTTGTATGTCAGGGGGAGGGCAGAGACCCAGGGCCATGATAAATGCACAACCCTCCTCCTAGCAAAACAGCACGAACAAGCCCTTGAGTTAATGTGTTTTGGTAGTAGCTATGGACAGCTATCGACAAGGATTTGATGTTAAGGTAAACCTGTATGAACCAGAAACCCCGAAAACTCACTGTGAACCCTATACAAGCACGATAACCCTTAGCCCAAATCTGAGCCGAGGATGGTTTGGGACATAGGGGTCCAGGAGCTTAGGTTAGGGGTCTTGGGGTACCCGAAACCCTAAACTCTAACCCCTAAACCCTTAACCCTGAACCCTAAACCCTAAATCCTAAACCCAGTTCGGGGACACCCGAACCCTAAAGAGCAGCGCCCGAAGCAGCTGCAGCTTACAGGCAGTCCTGGTACCGGTCACGCGTTTCAACGTCACCGCGCCTCGTTGGCGCTTTACAAGGTTTAGGGTTTAGAGTTTAGGGTTTGGGGCTTAGGGTTTAGGGTTAAAGGCTCTTCTTCAAACCCCCCCCCCCCCCCCACCCCCCCCAGGACCCCAGACAAAGTATCCCTGAACCCGAAACCCTGAAGCCCAACCCTAAAACACAAACGAATCAGGAAGAATACCTCAGAGTTGACAGACAGCTCTCTTGGGGTTTACAAGGTGTCTGAGCCAGCCGTGGGTCTCACTACCCTGAACGCTTCTGGGGTTTAGGGTTTAGTGTTTAGGGTTATTGGGGTTTCCGGGTTTAGGGTTACAGGGTTCAGGGTTCAGGGTTCAGGGTTTAGGGTTTAGGGTTTAAGGTTTAGGGTTAGGGTTTAGGATTTAGGGTTGCCGGTTACCGCAATGTGCATCTTCGGCACCTTCCGCTGTGAACCCCCTGCATGGCATTCACAGCAGAGCCTTCCTGGGGGCCTACCGAGCTTCAACAGGGGTTTAGGGTTAAGGGTTTAGGGTTTAGGGTTTAGGGTTTAGGGTTTAGGGTTTAGGGTACTTCCTGGACTCGTAGACCCTACACCCTACCCTAAGGATCCATGTACCTATATGGTATATACTTGGGCCCTAAATTCTAAAGCTACTACATTGAACGCCCTAAACCCTGGAGACTTTGTAGAACCTATAGCCCTTTCCACAACGGAGGTGCAATGTGGCAGGGCCACGGGCTGCGCCGCAACGGCCGAGAACCGCATCAGGACGTGGCTCAGGGGTATGCGGGTTCAGGGTTTTACGGCTTGTAGGGCTTAGTTCGTGACCCTAAAGCCTATAAAAGCCCCAAACCCTATAATTCGAAGACAGCCTCGGGCCAACTAGCTCCCAAATGCGCGAACTTGATTCCGGAACCGGCCTAACACCAAACTCCAAGCCTCAAGAACTTAGATCCCAAACCCTGAAAAGCCGACGCCCTACAACCCCCAAACCCCAAAACCGGCCCTCTCCTAAGCGTCTGGTACCAAGGAAGCCAAAACATACGCAGCCATGGTTATTATTCCTATAGGTTCCTGGGCAGCCGTGTGAAGAGTAGCTACCCCTGTAAAACGCAGACCCAGGATTCCTAGAAACGAGCACGTTGCGGGCCATCTACCGTGGCCTGGTGCAGGAATAGGAGGTCCTCCACAACCAGCAGAAAAGGACCTCCTGTAGCTCAAAGAGATGCCCCAACTGCGCTCAATCACCGGCCAATCAGTCCTGCGCGGCGATGCCTCCGATGCCTCATTGCTGTGGGTGAGCCCGCGTGGGTGAGCGCGCCTGCGATGAAAAGCCACTTGTGCAGGAGCCGCGGTGGTTGCGGCTTTTCCCCGGCTGCGAGACCAGCAGAGCCGCCGCCGCCAAAGAGCGGCTTAGCGGCCCTTTGCCTGAGCCGGTCGTGAGCACATTGCAGACTTGAGTGCGACGTCTGCGGCGTTCGCCTGTGCTCCCACATA